TGCCAAGACCAAAGAACACCAGGGCAAACAGGCTATCGAGAAGCTGAACAAACGCTGAGGTTGACACACTGATCAACCCTGATGCTGAGAAAGGTGAATTACAACAGCCATTTATCTCCAAATTATAACATGCAGCCAATAATCCAGGACTTACCTAAACTGCATCAAATGAGAGCTGTACAGATGACAAAACAAAACATATAAGTGAAAACCAAAAGAACAGAGGCCACAAGTGATGTCCTAAGAATAGTAAGAACAGGGCGAGCACATAAAATATTTCTCCCTACTGCTCTCAGTCATTCTCCCAAAACCTTGCAAATGAAGTTTTTCAGCTTTCTTGTGCAGATGATTCTCCCAGGGTCCCAGGAAGAAAAGGGAGCAGCATTCAGCCCATGGCTCTCCAGGTCTCAGCCCTACAAAGCTCTTTTGGCAATCTGTGGATGTGATTTCAAGTTGAGAGTTGGAAAAACCACACGTTAACCTGAACAGTTCAGGAGTGCTGCAAGACAAGCCCAAACCCAAACAACTGGGATCTGCAGTAGGTGTAAGAGGTCACTGGGCTGAAGGTGCTCACAGTCAGCCAAGCCCCAGGGGCCTGTGCTGTTCCCAGACACCCAGCAAGCACCTGAGCAGCTCCACGGGGCTTCAACTACTGCTGAGCATGGACACTGCTGCTTCTGCAGGGGCCTCTGCTACCCAGGGTCTGGTGATTCCCCGGAGAACAAGCAGCAGTCACACCCACCATCTCCTGTTTGTGTCCCTGGAGAGCCTGAAGCCCCCTGTGCCTCAGTTTGCAGAGCTGCAGTGCCACCCCTTGCTCTACCACTACAGTATCTGCTGAGAGCTCAGTGGCTTGTGCTCGGTGCTGTGCAGCACACCCACGGCTGATCCCGTCACGCAGTCCATGTGTTATCGCTCACACACCCAGAGAGCAGAGAGCAGAGCAACAATTGCTCTTAAAAACTGAGTCAGAAGGGTGTCTTACTCTGAAGCATTGCAGCACACAGTGCCTACAACACCCTGGACTACCAGAAGCCGAGTTGTGGCTAACACAGCAGCGATCCATGCCAGGGAAACCTCCCTCTCCTTGCAGGCTGCAGCGTGGCACTTCTGCCGATGCCAGAAGAAAAGCAGAGCTGCTGCCATCCTCATGCTATGGCCAATCATCTCACCATACATCTGTCCCTGGGACTGGGGGTAAGGAGGTGTGAACAGGGGTGAAAAAGAGGCAGATTTAAGGCAAAAAAACCCCCCACATACAAGCAGGTCACTGGAGCCCTGGTGAGTCAAGGAAGGGAGGTAAAGGAGGATGGCTCAGATGGCATGAAAAATGAGCTGACAGAAAAACTGAGATGGAGGAACCTGGAAGGACAGTGGGGAAAGAGAGTGTTAGAGCAAAGGAGGAGAATGGAGGAAAGGGGAAGAAGGAAACTTTGGAAAGCAAAGAACAGTGGAGAACTTGGAGGAATCATCAGAAGAAACAAGGAGAGTGAGACACAGCACTGGGGAGTCTGAAAGAATAAAGAGGGGCAAAACAGTGGGAGCCTTGGGGATGGAGTAAAAGGGTTGACTGGAGAGAAAAAGAGCAAGAGGAGAGACTGGAGGAAGATGAACAGATATGGAAAGGGAGAATGGAATGATGACAGACACAGGAAGGTAAGGAGATCTGGGGAACAGGACAAGGGGAAGCCTAATAGCAGGGAAGAGAGCAAGAGAAAATGTACAAAAAGAAGGGAGGGAGAAAGAAGTGCACAGCCAGAATTCAGTATATTAATCAATCCAAAGTTCTGCAGAACTTATCATATGCTGCCATGATTAATGCAAAATTATGCAAATTAATTGTCCTGTTACTCTGAAGGGCTTCAGCCTGCTTTTCAGACATGCTGAAGATCGAGCTGACACCACAGGGCACAGAGAAAAGGTGGAGGCTGATCACTGGTGCTGTGCTTGTTCAGGGAGAAGGGAACATCCCAGTACATCAGCCGTTGCTTTTGGAGGCCACCCAGCACAGTCCTGACCTGACACAGAAGCTCGTGAGATGGACCAACGCAGACCCAGACATGTACAGTGCACCCCACATATCCTAAATCCCAGGACTTCAGCTCTTTGTTGTTAGGTGCAGTTTAAATGCACAGGACTTTCCCATCAGACCTTTGAAACAGAGACCACTGGCTCTCATTAAAACAACACAGCTCCCACAACATTTTTATTTCTGGATGAGGAACTTGTTTACAGTCTCATAACTTGACAGGTTGAGAGAGTTGGGGCTGTTCAGCCTGGAGAAGAGAAGGCTCCGGGGAGATCTTATAGCGGCCTCCCAGTACCTGAAGGAGCTACAAGAAAGCTGGGGAAGGACTTTTCATAAGGGCCGTTAATGACAAAACAAGGGGAAATGGGTTTAAACTGAAAGAGGGGAGGTTTAGATGAGATATTAGGAAGAAGTTCTTCACTGTGAGGGTGGTCAGACACTGGAACAGGTTGCCCAAGGAAGCTGTGGATGCTCCTCCCTGGAAGTGTTCAAGGCCAGGCTGGATGAGGCCTTGAGCAACCTGGTCTAGTGGAAGGTGTCCCTGCTGATGGCAGGGGGGTTGGAACTGGATGATCTTTAAGGTCCCTTCCAACCCAAACCATTCTATGATTCTATGAACTCCACTGTGCCGTGGCTCCCACTGACAAAAACCCTCTCTATATAAAATACTATTCTGTTAGTGGCAGATGATGTAACTGCTCTCACTTCTCTATAGATCCACTCCTGAGATGCAGGAAGTTGAGTCCTGGGATCTGATACTCAACAGTGGTGTGAAATTAGAAGCAAAAATCAACAAAATTAACAATTTTTATGAATACTGAAACACACTGAACTAGAGAATCCATGAGTTGGGTCTATTCACCTGCATTCAGATGCAAGAAAACAGTTGGTGTCTCCCTGTTCCCACCTTTTTTTCTTCTATAAAGCTTGATCAGTAGTATCAAAGGCCACAGAATCGTTTCACTCGTGCTCTCCCACCACACCACAGCAATGCTCTGGCTGGGACATAAGTCCCCTGTCTAGCCACAGCCTCAGCCTTTGGTTTCAGCTGACAGAATCATAGAATGGTTTGGATTTGAAGGGACCTTAAAGGTCATCTAGTTCCAACCCCCCTGCCATCAGCAGGGACACCTTCCACTAGACCAGGTTGCTCAAAGCCTCATCCAGCCTGGCCTTAAACACTTCCAGGGAGGGAGCATCCATAGCTTCTCTGGGCAACCTGTTCCAGTGTCTGACCACCCTCACAGTGAAAAACTTCTTCCTAATATCTCATCTAAACCTCCCCTCCTTCAGTTTAAACCCATTTCCCCTTGTTTTGTCATTAACTGTCCTTATGAAAAGTCCTTCCCCAGCTTTCTTGTAGCCCCTTCAGGTTCTGGAAGGCAGCTATAAGATCTCCCCGGAGCCTTCTCTTTTCCAGGTTCTCTTTCCAAGGTTCTCCCTCTAAATGGTCCTGCTCACAGAGGAAACCCCACCACAATGTGGTGTCTCACCATATTCAGACCCCAGCACGTGCTCACTGCACCAAACAATGCTATTGCTCAGATCTGATGGGGAACTTCACAAATGACTGTAACCACGTATGCCACCACTGCAGAAGTCCTTGGGAAGACTAAGTTACAGGTAAGCCACCATACCTGAACTCCAGGCTACTCAACTGAGCAGCACAAACAGCTAAACCCCTGATACTGTCCCTCTATATGCAACCCTCTCCAGGACAGAAACCTACTCCTCGCTGATACCTTCTTTTTACAGTGGTTCAAATAGAGAGAGTGTTGTTCTTCTTTCCTTTTTCGTATTTCTTCGCTTGACTGGCTGTCCATTTTCTCCTGCATTTTCTGCAGCAGTGGCTCTGAAACAGCCTGAAGCCATTTTTTGTACAGGATCTCCTTCTTTCTCAGATTTAAGAAGTCGTTGTGATTCAAATACCTGTCCACCTCCTAAGTGAGAAACAGAAAATAAAAACCATACAACCTATTAGCCAACCACATTAAAGAGTCCACAGGTGAAGCCACACAGCTTGGCTGACCTCACCTGGCTGGTCACTGCTGCAAGGGCCCCATTTTCCAGCCCTTCCTTCTGCTCCTTCCTCGCTCTACTTCCCACCACTTGTTTCCAAGCTCTCCCTTGCAGGGACTCTGGCATTCAGACTCTGATTTTTTAAGCTGTAGTGCACGACTGGCAGAAAATCCTTCACTTTTTCCCACCAGGTTAGTGAGCTGAAATCATTTCAGAGTGGGAGTCTGATGAACACCAGACTGTGCAAGACAGGCAGCAGAAGGACCTTCTCCCTGCAGCACTGGCATTCTGCTAGAGATCAGCCCTCCTGCCCTTCATTCACAGGCCCACCACCACCATCTAATCACACCCACAGAACAAGTTAGGTGCAAACAGGCAGGTAAGTCACCACAGACAGGTGATCCCTAAGCTCATATTTCGGGTTACCACTACAGTCCTATCCCGAGGAGACCGAGGAGGCCAGAAACTTGTACTTCTAAATTTAGTTTTCCAAGAATACAAAGTGACATGTTATCATGAATCACTGATGGAGAGAAAAAAATTGCCATGCAGGAAAGCATATGGCAAACCAGAGAAGAGATAGAACTTCCTACCTTCACAAAATAATTTTCTCTGTCCAGGATGCACTGAGCAGAAGCAAAGATGTCTCTATTTTCTTCAGGTACTGCCTAACAAAACACCAAAAAACCAAATGAAGTAAAAGCAGGACTGACAGTAGGAGTTAGAATCACCTTTGAATTCAAAATAATGACTTGTGTTGTGATTAAAGGCATGTTATACCATAACTCAGCTGGCAGGATAATCGATGTCTGAAGAATCCTTACAGAACTGAAGCAGTTAGGTCTCCTCCAAATGAAGGAGTGAGGTTTCTTCTTCCTGGAGAAGTCGCAGCTCTGGGGGAAACTCATCTCATCATGCCAGTACTGAAAGGATGGCTACAAAGAGGGCAGAGGCTCTCTCTTCACAAGGAGCCACACGGAGAAGACAAGGGGCGACAGGTACAAGTTGCACCAGGAGAGGTTTCATCCAATATGGGAAATAAACTTTTTACAGTGAGATCAATCATTCACTGGAACAACCTCCCTGGGGCTGTGGTGGAGTCCCCATCACTGGAGGCTTCCGAGATGTGACTGGACAGGGTGTTAGGTAATCTCATCTAGTGTTCCTTTCCCACAAAAGGTTGGACCAGATGATCTTTCGAGGTTCCTTCCAGCCTGGGCTGTTCGCTAAGTCCATGACTCTACCCGGTCACAAGCTTGTTTAAGGTTTTATGGGAAACTTTTCCACACATAAAATCACGTGGAACTCAATAAAGCAACCTTGAAAGGATGCAAGGGCTCAATAAAACCCACTGGATTGATATTTATAGAGTGTTCCCCTTCCCAATGCCAAACACACCTCACATTATACAGGACTTTGCAAATAAGCATTTTTCATTCCTCCCTTCATATAGAATCACAGAATGGTTTGGGTTGGAAGGGACCTTAAAGCTCAACCAGTTCCAACCCCCCTGCCATCAGCAGGGACACCTTCCACTAGACCAGGTTGCTCAAAGCCTCATCCAGCCTGGCCTTAAACACTTCCAGGGAGGGGGCATCCACAACTTCCTTGGGCAACCTATCTTCCATTCCATTTCATTCCTCCACTCATACCTTTGCACAACAGAAATCCTTCTGTGTTAGCCAATCTTTGGTAGTATTTTTTGTCCCAAAATATCTGTTTGCTGCACCACTCCCTGCTGGTGCTGAGGAGAACCTCTGGATAAACGTGTGAAAAAGGAAAAGGTCTGCATAAAAAGCCAGTGTGCTTTATAAAGATCAGGTTCTCATACAGCTTCTACAATCAAGCTACAAACTGGGACAGAACAGTAAGAAGTTGACGCAACGTCTTCACGCTGTGCTGCCTTGCAAACCTCGTCATTTCTGTGCTGGAAGTGTAACATCCTTGCAGCAGTTCCCAGGAATACTGCAGGGCAGGAGGTGGAAAACATTTCACACAGATGAAACAGAAACAAAGGGACTGGAATGACCCAATTTAGAGCTGTGCTTTTAATAGATCAGGCACACTTCTTTGGAGAAAGATACATATATATATATACAGACATATATAAATATGTTCAATTCTGCTGACTCACAGTTCAAGCATTTCTTGTAATACCAGAGCAGCACTCACTGAGTGAGCAGCCTACTCGTGCGTGCGTAAGACAGGCTGTGGTATCATTTCTGAACGTACCAATACTGCTGACCAGCAGTCATTTTGGGGATTCCTCTGAAAGATTCATGCAGTACTTGGATGCTAGATGGCTTCAACCTACAACAAGCTGACAGGAAGGGCAGAGCACACACTTCTTCCTGTAAGGCACGTTTCTGAGTAGGCCTAGGAGGGAGGGATGAAAGCACAGAGACGTTCCTGCGAAGTAGGACTCACTAATGAATTCAGGCCCAAGCCAGAAATGCACCCCTGGTGGGCAGACAGACAGATCAGACCGCTGTCTAGAACCTCAGTGGTATTAGGTGGCCAGTTCCAAGACAGGTGCTCAATTACACCCAAATATCCTGGGATTCCCCTAAACTTTGGTTCTTTACAGCTGAAGGAATGTTGAGAATGTGTTGGGTTTGGGGCGGGGGCTGGTTTTTTGGTAGTGGGGAAGGGCCACCTTGTGAGAGTGAAAAGCTCCCCTGGCTCCAAGGCAGAGACTCCCCGGCCCAGGCTGGGCCAGTGAGCACTAAAAAAATGCCTCTGTGAATCCATATTTGTGAGGGAAAGGACTGTCCTGAAAAGAAGTAGGTGGGGTACCTGGAGGAGAGGCCATTGAGCTGAACAGAAGACAACCATGGGCCTAAACAAAGAATAGATACACAGAGAGAGCTTTGTTGCAGGAGGAAAGAGGAGGAGAGGAAAAGACAGAGATCCACACCCAGTTCTACTGCATGGAGTAGGAG